TCTTTCCTTTCCTCTTTCCTTTCCTCTTTCCTTTCCTCTTTCCTTTCGTCCCCCTCCCCCTCCCTTTCCCCTTTCCCCTTCCCCCTCCCCCTCCCCCTCCCCTCCCCTTCCCTCCCCTCCCCTCTCCAACTGAGGATCAAAAGCAAGGCCTCCAAGGAAACATGTTAGGCTAGCATGGAGCTGTGTCTCCAGCCTTGAAGTCTTAATATTTACATAATAGGATTCTGGGAAGTTTGATGATAACTAACAGTGACTATTTACTGAATTATACCATAAATTGTTTCATTAACTCATTATGTAAGTAATTGTGGCAGACACTGGGAATACAGAGATTTAAAAATATCCTTCTTTCTGTACTCCAGCAATTTGTTAGCATTTTAGGACTGTAAAATGCTGTATTATCCAGTTAATAACTGTTAATTATATGTCAGTTTAGTAACAATAGCACACTATTTATTAGATAGTTTATTGCATTTATTTATTTTGTGTTTGTGCTCTTACATGCTCCATAGTGCACATGTGGAAGTCAGGACAGTTTGCAGGAGTCAGTTCTCTCCTTTCACCATATTGGTTATGGGAATTGAACTGAGATCATCAGTGTTGGCAGCAGACAGCCTTATTAGCTAAGCCATCTCACTGGCCCAGGTACTTATTTTAAGAAGAAAAATTCTGAAGCTCGGTGTTAAGATTGTTTTCCTCCAAAGTGACAGTTGATAAGCAACAGATTTAGTACTCTAGTTCAAAACTCCATTTATTACATTGTTACTGCCTTTCAGGGGATGGCAAGAAGTGATAGTTGACAATCTTGCCACGGAATCAGGTAGTCTTAAAGTGTAGATTTTAAAAATGTATATTTTAAACATGTAATTTTAAAGAGTAGATTTTTAACTCTTTTGCTCAAAGCCCCACATGAGGATGCTTTTCTCTTGAAATGACAAAGCACAACTGTCTTAAAAAAGGGTGAGTTCCAGGATTCCCTGATGTGAGAGTTCCATGATGTCAGCAAGGCATGGTGTTACTTTCATCTCTCTCTCTCTCTCTCTTTGTTTTATCTTTGGAGTGCCCACCCTAACCTTGGGTGTAAACAGGTACCAAGGACAAATGGAATGGCTCATGACCTTATTATTAATAATCAGTGGAGACAAAAAGTAGAAATCTCTTCTACAAGCATGGACTGTATATGCATTTGCCTTCCTCATTCTGCTCACTTCTGGACCAGTAGAAGTAGCCAGAGGACTACAACACACTAGATCTATTAGCATTTGGACAATGGTAGATATTATTGATCACAGTTCTAATTTCAGCCACCCAGTGACCAGGGTGCTATCTCTGATAGTTAACACAAACCTTGACATTACTTGGGAAAGGTAGTAATTAAAAATGGCTAGAGTAAATAAATGTTGATACAAAAAGGCATTTCTTTAGTTACTTAAAAAAATTTAAAAATGACTATTTTTATTTGTTGCAAATTTTGTGCATGCGTACAATATATTTTGATTCTTTTCGCCTCCCACAATCCCCCCCCAACTCTTCACAGCTCTGCTTTCAATACTTAAATCAATTTACTTATTTGAAATATTCCATTTATGGGTGTTCATTTAATAACTAAAAAAGGGGGGAGGACCAGATTGTCCTATATAAGATATAGAGAGGTGAGCAATATAAACAAAGCTTCTGTACCTAGTGAAGTTTATATTATAATGATTGAATAATAATTAGTTAATAAACAGCTAAACAGAGTGATCAGTATTGTTTAAGTATTTGAAGGCAAAAGCAAGATGATTGGTGAAGGTCCTATAGTTGCCAAAGAAAGCAACCTTGGTAAGAAATCACTTGAACTGACACTTGATTGATAGATGTGACCTATTTGTAGAGCTCAGGAAAGAACAAGCAAACTAACAAAATTAGCAAACACAAAGTTCAAGAAATACAAATGCACTTGGAACTTTTGAAAACCGAAGAACATAAATGGGAGAATTGTACTAGACTAGACAGTTGGACAGGACACTGTAATTGCTCAGGACCATAGACTGTAGGAAGGAGTTTGAGTGTTATTCAAAGCTAGAAAGAAGCTTTGAGATTTAAGTAAGGGAATTTGCTTGTTGGGTTTCCTCTTTAAAAATACTCTAGGAACTGTAGAGATGGCTCAGCAGTTTAGAGCACTGGATGTTCTTCCAGAGGACCTGGATTTGGTTCCAAGCATCCCTATCAGGCCTCTAGCAACTACCAGTAACTCCAGTTCAACACCGTCCTCTGGCCTCCTCTAACACCTGTACATACATGACTTACACTCATAAACACATACACTTAAATGAAAATAAAGCTTGAAAAGTAATTAAAACTCACTCTAGTAGCTGTGTGAAGAATGGATGATAGTAAAGCGGAGTAGAAGTAAGTTAGGAAGGTAATTTCTGGTGGCAGCCTTCCTAGTGAGAGGTGGCACCACAGTTGAATGGGAAATAGGTAAATTATCTATGTTAGAACTAGAACTAACAGTCCCAACTGCATCACACTCCCTTTTGCTTAGAGAGAGAAGACTTGAACAAATACAGATTAAAGAAGAAAAATCAAGAGCTTCATTCATTTGTTTATAATAAATTTTGAGTACTTACTAGACAATGAAGTAGAGATACCAAATAAGCAAGTGGATTGATGACTAAAGCTTAGAGAAGGAACCAGCTGAATGAGCTGATGCTATGTATGAACGTGTTCCTATAGCTTTGCTTTTCTTCTACTTTGTATTTAGAGGCAGTAAGTTTTATTCTCCATGTCATTTCCATGCATTTTCCATGTCAGATTATTTGCATTTATCCTCATTTGTAGTTTTACTACCTACATTTTCCCTCTCCCATTTAAAAAAAGAATACCGATAGATATAAACTAATAATGAATACAGCAAACCATTTGGACTATACTAGATAGAGATTATACATAATTGAGTTAAGACTATATTGGTCAACTGGATGTGGTGGCACAACATCTTTAACTCCAGCACTCAGGAGGCAGAGGCAGGTAGATCTCTATGAGTTGGATACCAGCCTGGTCCCTAGAGTGAGGCCTTGTCTCAAAAAGAATATGTTCGTCAGAGGTCTGATCTTGCATGTAGGAGTCTAAGGATTTGATCCTCTCACACCCTTTTTGGAAAAGAGTTGGTAAAAAAACAAAACAAAACAAAAAAAAAAACGTAAAATTTCAGTAGGAATAAGTTCAGGAATTCCATTGTACAACATTGTAACTACTCTGCTTAGTAACAACAAATTGTATTGAAAATTGGTTAAAGTAGATTTTAAGTTTCTTGCCAAAAAAGATGAATAAATAATTTGACTTGATTTAACCATTACATAATTTGCATGTGTTTCAAAACCTTTTATTATTTTTGATAAATATATAATCTTTAAAAATTATATAATTGACTTTTAAAACTAGAATGCCTTTTAACTATTTTAAACACTGCAGTGTCAGTTTTTGTACATATGTTCTGTTATTCTGTTATTAGATATTAAATGTGTTCATCTTTTAACTATTAATACGTTACTACATCTGATAACTATTTTTTGAATTTATACTGTATAATTCATATTGGCCATACACTTAACTTTTAAGACAAATATGATATTTTTATTTTTAAGTATAAAGTGAACTTTAAGAAAACCTTAATGATTACTTTTAATGGTTTTAGATGGAAATGCTTTCATGTTAAGGAATTGAAGACAGGTGCACGTAGTTTGTGTGCTTTCCCTCCCAAAGAATTGATCTGCAATGTGGCTGCCTTTTCAAGCCAGACATGTTGCTTCAGAAGTGAAATTACATTTATTTCAGAGTTTATAGGGTTTTAGAATTTATACAGTTTCACAGGAAGTCTTAGAACATTTTATCAAAACCCAGCTTCTAAAAAAATACTAGAGGAAGAAGGAAACTGAGCCTAAGCTTTCCCCAGCAATAATTGTTTATTTCTTTCATTGTATTAAGGTATATCATTTACCTTGGTCTTTTTTTCCTGTGCCAGGTGGTGTCACTATATTTGTGGCCTTGTATGATTATGAAGCTAGAACTACAGAAGACCTTTCCTTTAAGAAGGGTGAAAGATTTCAAATAATTAACAATACGTAAGTTTTGTGTGTATTTTGTAAGAGAGGAACCTGGGTGGAGTTGATGATACGGAGATGAGAGTGGTGGGATATGGGTCTTTGTTTTGGGGTTTCGGGTTAGATGATGCCTTTGATTTCGTGAGACACATTGGATAATATGTTGCTACCAGCAGAAGTTACTACTTTTGCAAATTGTACTTAAGAGTTAATCTGTATACAGAGATTTTAGAAGAAAGAATTCTAGGTGTGGTGGCACATACATGTAATCTCAGCACTAGAGAAGATCTTGAGTATGAAGCTAGCCTAAATTGTATAGTGAGTTCCAGGTCAACATGGGCTATATACTTAATGAGTTCCAGATGACTTTACAACCTTATTTCTTGGGGATGGGGGAAGGTGGATATGGAACCCCTGTACTCTGAAACTTAGCAAATTGTGTTTTTCCTAGTTACTCTTAGACTTTGTCGTTTAGCAGTCTGCATAGAAAATGTGATGCTTGTTGTGCTGCAGATTTCCTAATCTCATTAGCAGACATAACAACCACTTTGTAACTTCTCAGAGCACATACTTATGGTCTTCTTGCTTCTTGTCGTTTCCCTCTGTCCTCATTTTACCATATGTTATCACTTTCTGTTCCAGAACATAAACTGTGGTTGTGTCTCTCTGCCTTAAGATCCTTCAGTAGCTAACGATAGTTACGAAGATTTAAAAAGAACAACAACAACAATAATCGTAATCCATCAAGACTTTGCCCTGTATTTCTATTCTTTCTCATTCTGCTACCCAACAATACTGAAATAATTGCAATATTTTGAGTACAATAGTTTCTCACCCTCTTCTTGCCTTCATACATACTATTTCTTTTTCTGGAATAACTTTTGGTCTGTTTCTTTTTTTGTGGGGTGGGAGGGGTGCTTGATTGAGATGGGAATAGAATCCTGAGCCTCCGGCATGCAAATTCTGTGCTATATCACTAAACTATACTTGATTCCTCGTTTCCTTTCCCTTTCAAGTTAGCCTTCCTCATCCTTTAAAAGGTATTTCCTGTGTCCTTTTCAGTGGTTCATCTCCTTGTCTTCTTCCTCTCCTGCCTGGCTCAGTTCACACACCTTACTCTATGAATGTTTCTCTTAGGTGTTTACATGATGTTCTACAAACCTCAGTCATGGCTGTCATCATATTGCAAATTGCAATTTTTAATTTGACTTATCATTTTTTTCTTTTGATTTTTCGAGACAGGGGTTCTCTGTGTAGCTTTGGAGCCTGTCCTGGAACTCACTCTGAAGACCAGGCTGGCCTTGAACTCACAGGGATGCCTGCCTCTGCCTCCTGAGTGCTGAGATTAAAGGTGTGCACCACCATTGCCTGGCTGATTTCTCATTCTTTTAGACCAGTGATTCTCAGCTTGGGGCAGAATCACACAGAAGGTATTTAGCAGTGTCTAGAGATATTTTTGTTTGTCACAGTCAGGGAGAGAGTGTGGCAACTGTCATCTTGTACCTTCCAGGGATATTGGTAAAATTCTGCTATGTACATGATAAAAGATTCATCAAATACGAAGTGTCAGAGTGTTAGTACCTTTATAATTGCCGTCCCTGCTCCAGAATCAGTTCTTGAGCTTACGGACTGCTGTTTGTCTTACACTTCGTGACGCTCAGTGAACGACTCAGGGAATTCTTAGGAGGGTCAAATACAAAGTTTTAATAAAAAAGAATCATCACAGGTTCTAGGCCAGCTAGGGCTACATAGTAAGACTTTGTATATATATATGAGAAAAGGATTTAATGTATTCTAGGGCACCACTAATCAAAGTATTTGTTTGCAAATAAAGTATCAAAAGTTTTCTTAATTTATTCTTTAGAGCTTAAATTCACTTTGAGCGTTTATAAAAGTTTCAGTTTGAACAGTACATGTAATCTTAAGTAGTGAATCTCTCTCACACACACATCTTATTAGAGATACTTTCATAGGAATTTTGGAAAAGCCAAGGTTAATATATATTCTAAACAATATGCAGCTTCATACTTTGAATTATAATATTAGTTTTGCTGATGTTTGGATATCAGTTTTTGAATAGCATTTTAGAAGCATACATGTTTGTTTTACTTGAATCAGGTCTTGCTATATGGCCCAGTCTGACTTTGAAGTCACTGTTCTGCCCCCACCTCCTGGGTGCTGGATCATAGGCTTATGCCACCACCACTAGAAATTCAGCTTCTTTTAAAGAAATAGTTTTACCTATTGTGAGAGAGACAGGCAAAGGAATAATTGTACTTATTGTGAGAGAAACACACACACACACACACACAAAATGTGGGCATGTACATGTATCATGGCACGCGTATGGAGGTCAGAAGATGACTTTTAAAAACAGGTTCTCTGTCATTCTCTCCCCCAGCCCTATAGGATTGGGGATGTATCACTCAGGTTTTTAAACTTGGCAACAAGTGCCTTTACCCACTAAGCCATTTCATCAGCTCTAGAAATTCAACTTTGGATTGTCAAGTTTGGGTATAAGAATAGTAAGACCTTTGATTGTATTTTTAAGGTGACTTTTAAACATGTTACAATTTTATTTCTTATTAAGAAGAAAGCATTTGGTATTAAAAACAAAAAAATTAGCATGATATAGACTGAAATGTAGGTGAACCTTAATATGATATGTATGTAGGCACATAATATGGAGCCCAGAGGACAATTTGGTGTAGTTGGTTCCTCCCCTTCCTCTTTTATACTGACTCTGGGCATTGAATTTAGGTCATTAGCTTGTGTGGCAAGTGCCTTCACCTGCTGAGCTATCTTGCCAGCCCAGGGTTTTTATGGTGGCAAAATGTTCTAAAATCTATTATTTTGATGATTTTACAATTCTGAATATATTAAAACCCTTAAATGTTATCTTTTAAATGTGAAAGGTGTATTTAGCATGCAAGTAAAATTTTAAACTTATAAAATTTTATTTAAAATTTAGTAAATTTCTGTATTCAACGTAGTTTATTAGCCTTAGTTGAAAGAATTAACATGAAAAAGTAAGTAGAGTTCAAGTGTGCAGTAATTGGAGGTTTTCTGGTATTACTGTTGGTTTACAGCAACAGGTGTGCTTTTGCATGGTCTTAATTTCCTTAATTCATCTAACCAGCTTTTAAAAATAGTGTTTTTTGAGTTCAGCTCTTTGTCTATTAATCCAAGAAAAACTCCAGATTAAATATGGAAGTGGTTTCTGTTCTTTGCATGAGATAAGAATTATACCTTGGGTAAGTATCTGCATTATAGTGATTGTTGTTTTTTGTGTTGCAGGGAAGGAGACTGGTGGGAAGCAAGATCAATTGCTACCGGAAAAAATGGTTATATCCCTAGCAATTATGTCGCACCTGCAGATTCCATTCAGGCAGAAGAGTATGATGCTACTTCATATTTTATTAATTATTTTGACTTTTAAAATATTTTAATGCATATTCTTCTTAACACAACTTACACACTATTATATTCCAGTCTTAATACAGCTAATGTATTATATTAATAAGTGCTTTTAAGAATGATTAATGTATTTACTCAGGCACACAATAAGCAAATCTGTATTAATCATTTTACATTGTATTCTCTTTTCTTTATTTTCCTGCTTATTTTTAAAGCTCATTGTTTTTTGCACTCCATAGGCTGTCCTTTTATCTCCTTGCACAGAATGATGCATTTGTGATGCTTGCTTGTTTTTACTGATACAAATCATCACATCAGTGCTCTTTTTCTACTATGACTTTTGTTACTTTGTTTGGTTCTTTGTCTTCAGTATTCTGTGAACTTTCCCACAGCAATAACTGTCATTTTTTTTGTCACTAAGCTTTATTAAATCAAACCCACACATATTTCGAGTTCCTTATGATTTTGGTATGATCTGCTTGCAGCATTTTACTGAATACAGGTTATCATACTTGTTTCTAAAGAATTAATTACCCTCACTGACAGATTTTTTTTGTTTGTATTTTTTGTCTTTCCTTCTCTATTTACTGATTTTCTGGTTGGTAGGGGGAATTTAAAAGACATGGTGAGAGTAGTTAGAAAACTACTCTAACAGAAAAACCGTTAGAGCATGTTTCCAGTTTTGTTTGACTCTTTGTTTTTTCATTTTTTTGAGACAGGGTTTCTCTTCTTAATCCTGGCTGTCCTGAAACTCACTTTGTAGACCAGGCTAGCCTCGAACTCACAAAGATCTGTCTTTCTCTGCCTCCTGAATTCTGGGATTAAAGGCATTCACCACTACTACCTGGGTCATAGTTAAAATATTTTTATACTTGATCTAACATTAATACTTTGTTTGATTATTTCTTTTTCAAGACAGGCTTTCTCTGTGTAGCCCTCACTGTCCTGGAACTCACTCTGAAGGTCAGGCTGCCGTCGAACTCACAGAGATCCTCCTGTATCTGCCTGGAATTAGGGGAGTGTGCTACCAGTACCAGGCTATTGCACTCCATTCTTATTGATACATGTATGTAATTTTTCTGATCCTCATACCTTTTACCTCAAAACATCATGAATTTTTTTTTTTCAGATGGTATTTTGGAAAAATGGGGAGAAAAGATGCTGAAAGATTACTTCTGAATCCTGGGAATCAGCGAGGTATATTCTTAGTCAGAGAAAGTGAAACCACTAAAGGTATGAATATTTTATTAATATGTGCATAACATGCATTAGGCATAGGTTGAGGAAGCTGGAGTGTAAAAATTTCCCTCCCCCCCCCCCCCCCCCCCCGCCCAGGTGCTTATTCCCTCTCTATTCGTGACTGGGATGAGGTAAGGGGTGACAATGTGAAGCATTACAAAATCAGGAAACTTGACAACGGTGGATACTACATCACTACCAGAGCTCCGTTTGATACTTTGCAGAAACTGGTGAAGCACTACACAGGTAGGTGAGCACTTCAGGGGTAGACATTAATCCCTTACATTCTATTTTGTGAGGACAACTCTTATTTCTTATCCAAGCAAATAAACCTATAGGAAATATAGACATTCTTTTCTTTTCAAGGACCTTTGAAAAGTATTCTGTTTTGCAGTCTTGTGTCTTTGGAGCCTGTCCTGGAACTAGCTCTTATAGACCAGGTTGGCCTCAAACTCACAGAGATCCACCTGCCTCTGCCTCCTGAGGGCTGGGATTAAAGGCGTGGGCCACCACTCCCTGACCACTTGTATATACTTCTTATAGAAAGCTTGTATGTGTAGCTTTAGAGTAAAGCTGATAGGAGCTGATTGGAGATTTTAATTCAATGATTTAAGCTATTTTTAAAAACCAAATAATAAGCCAGGTATGGTGGCATATTCTTTAATCATAGAAGAAGAGACATCACTGAGTTCAAAGCCAACTTGGTCTACATAGTAAGTTCCAAGCTAGTCAGGACCACCTACTAAGATCTTGTCTGAAAAACTAACTAAATAATCAGTTATGTCTGTGTGTGTATGTATGTATATTTGTGCACATATGTAAATATATACGTAATATATGTATATACACACATATGTATATATACACACACTAATTGTCTTAACTTTGAAAGTAATTCATTTACAGTGTACCCTATTCATTTATCTAGAACATGCTGATGGTTTATGCCACAAGTTAACAACTGTGTGTCCAACTGTGAAACCCCAGACTCAAGGTCTAGCAAAAGATGCTTGGGAAATCCCTCGAGAATCTTTGCGACTGGAGGTTAAACTGGGTCAAGGATGCTTTGGTGAAGTGTGGATGGGTAAGAAACCTGAGCTTTGTTGTTACTTTATTTGGTTATTGTGAAACCATAAATTAAAATAGCAAAATATGATAAAATATGTACAGTATGTATCTAATTATGTTGGATAACTTTTATTGTTGATTGAATTTTGATCTAAAATCCCTTGAAATACAGACTCAGATACAGAAATACAAATAATGAAAGAGTAAAATAAATTGTTTTCGTAGGAACATGGAACGGAACCACAAAGGTAGCAATCAAAACCCTGAAGCCAGGTACAATGATGCCAGAAGCTTTCCTTCAAGAAGCTCAGATAATGAAAAAATTAAGACATGATAAACTTGTTCCATTGTATGCAGTTGTTTCTGAAGAGCCAATTTATATTGTCACCGAGTTTATGGCAAAAGGTATGTACATATGAGTTGTCTTTTACATGGTTCTGTTGCAATTAAACGACTTTATTTCTGTTCTTTCTTAGGTTAAAAAAATCATACATTATATTTTGTTTGTATTCTTTCCCGGATACCCACTCAGCCCAGTTAGCCACCCAACTTTATATTCTTCTTTTTCTTAAAAAAGAAAAAAGAAAAAAAATCACGAGAAAAACCCAAAACAAAATTAAAACAAGACCTTGGAGTCTGCTTTTTGTTGGCCAATTATTCCTGAGCATGCAGCCTTCCTTGGGGTGTGGTTGATAAATACCCATTGTCTCTCCGTAGGAAAACAAACAAACAAACAAAAAAACCTACAACTAATTTTTCCCTTTCCCTGAAGCTGTCAATCAAATAGGTTCTAGGTAAGGAGTTGGATTATGTGCCCACTTGCCCTTCTCTTTGTTGGGAACTTGTCTGGTTTGAACTTGTGTCATAGTCTTTGGGAGTTCATATGTGCATCAGACCTGCTGTGTCTGGAAAATACTGTTATTGTGGAGTCATCCACCACCTCTGGCTCTCGCATAGATCTCTGAGCCTTGAGGGGGGAGGGCTTTGATAATAATTAGGGTGTGATCCCATTTAGACCTCAGTGTTCAGTCTTTCACTCTCTGCATTTTGTCCAGTTGTGATCCATGTACTGCAAGAAGTTGTCTCTCTGGTGAGACTCAGTGATACACTTCTGTGTGGGTATAACAGTATGTTGGTAGAGGAGTCTTTTTATTGCTTTGTTCATTTAATACAATAATTGGACATTTTCTCTGGGGGTCTATGATCTACCTCTCAGAGGTATGGGTTCCGTCTCATGAAGTGCGCTTTTTAAGTCCAACCAAAAGATGGATGAATGTTACTCTTGTTACTGTTGTAACATTCATGCCCCATTGCTCCAGTGAGTATACCTGGCAGGCAAATTGCTAATGTAGCTCACAGAATACATGTTTTTCCTTTAAAATTATGTTTATTTATGTATTTTGCATACATATATGTATGGGTGCCGTGACACATATGTGAAGGTCAAAGTACAGCTTGACGGAGTCGACTATTTTCTTCTACCATTCAGGTCTTGGGGATTAAACTCAGGTTACCAGTCTTGGCAGCAGATATCTTTCTTTACCCCTGAGCCCTCTTGCAGGCCCTCTATTTTTATACATACAGATTTTTGTCATAGTACTTTCTTACTTAAGATTTTTTCTGTAGACTTTTGAAAAAGGAAATGTTAGGTTTTTTTTTTTTAATTGAGTAGTGGTGTTTTTTTTTTTTCCTAGTTTTCCCATAGGACCTTATGAAACTTTAAAGGAAAATTAGAGTGCGTCTTTTGAAAGTAGATTTAAGTAAAGGAAATGGAATTGCTAGAGCAGTCAAAATATAGACAAATTGAATTAAAGTGTTAAACTATAGCACTAAGGCAGAGATATTGAAGGGAATCATTTTTATCTCATTTTACAAAAACACAGTTCTTACACACTGGACTTGCAGAAGCTGTTCTCATCCTTCCCACCTTCTAAGTGCACAGGTGAGCTCTTCTGTAACTGTAACTGCGCGTTAGAGCCAGGGACAAAAGTAGGCAAATGATGGTAGAAGAGGAGCTAGTAAGTGATTAAATGATGCTGGTTAGTCTGAATCTACCTATTTTTAATCGGGTCTATTTTAAAATTTTTATTTTTGTACTTTGTTTTGTTGTTGTTTGTTTGTTTTTGTTTTTTTGAGACAGGGTTCTCTGTGTAACCCTGGCTGTTGTGGAACTCAGTCTGTAGATCAGGTTGGCCTTGAACTCAGAGATCCACCTGCCTCTGCTTCCCAAGTGCTCCAATTAAAAGCATGTACCACCACTGCCTGGCTTATTTTTATTTTTTTGAATTAGACTAATTAAGTTACTATTATGTCACCTTCTCTAGTAGTTCATGTTGGCTGATGATATAGTTCCTACTAATGGTGATAGAGAAACAAAAATCCCTCTAAAAGGACTAAAACCAATAACCTATTAATTTATAGCTAAAATATATCTAAAGATCCAAAGTATATGTCTTCTTTGGAAGGCATTTAGGCTGCAAACAACTGCTACCTATGGCATTTGAATGAGTGCATTAAATGAATTAGAAGAGGAAGTGAGAAAAGGAAAAGAAAGAAATTTAAATCAAGATATTAGTAGCTTGAAAAAACCAAATGGAGGTAAGACTAATGGAGCATCCATATAGTTCAATATATCAGTCTTTTAAAATTTAGAGAAAATGCTAGAATTCTGTGTTGTTACATAATTTGGTTATGATTATTTCTAGGCGAGAGATTTCAAATATAAAATAATATGATTATTTCCAGGTGAGAGATTTCAAATATAAAATAATAAAAGTTTCTGGGTTTAAGATGCAATAACTCCTCAGTCATTGATATTTAGTTGCTTAACAGTAAACCTTGTTAACCCTTTAAAGCTTATTGGCTCATGTGCTTTATCAGAAACCTATTGTTGCAGACAGATTTTCTTGTTGTTCTTAATTTCCATAGGTGGTTTTTTTCCTACTGTTGTGCTGACAACCAAGCCCAGAGTCTTGTACATCCTAAGAACACACTCTGCCACTGAGCTTTGTTGGCCCCAGCCCTGCACATGAGTTTTGTTCATATTATTCTCACCCCTCAAAATTTGTTTCTTCTATTTGTGGGGTCCCACTGTGAACCCCAGCGCAGAATTGAGCCAGCTGCCCACACGACTAGCCCTGGCTGAGGAGGGGAAGTGCACAGCTCATAAGGCGGATCTCCCCACTTGCCACCCTTCAGCGCTATCTTGGCTGGGAGTATTCTTCACGGACTTTGCAATGTTAACTTTTTTGAATTTTGCACCTTTTTCTAACTTTTGGTGTGTGCTAAAAGTGTGTCACTTTTTTGTGTGCTAACTTGGCCACTCCAACCTTCTATATGCTCATGCTTGATTCAACCCACATCTGTCTTTACCAGTTCTACCAATTATACTTTCTTGATCTAGTGTAGAATCCATGGTCAAGCCCAGCATTCAGTTGCCATCTCTCTTTTGTATCTTTTAATATGAAATTCTCAGCCTTTCTTATGAAAATGAGTATTTTTGTTGTTTTGGTTTTATAAAAATATGTCTTGTTTTGGGTTTATCTGATGTTGTATGCTTTTTAACCAAACCTCCCTTCTTAACCTTCCACTTTGCTGAGTTCATCATACTTTCCTATACCCATAGTGCCATCTCCTGACACCAGGAGCTATTCATCGCACCATCATGAGCTGCTTCTATGTAATTGTAACTACTCCATGATATTCTCAGTTGGCTGAATACTAGACTCGAACTGACTTTTTTTTATGATTTATTTGCAAGCTTTGTAACTTTCTTTCTTTTTCTATGGTTTGTTTAACTTTATTTTATGTGCATTGGTGTGAAGGTATTAGATCCTCTGGAACTAGATCTTCAGACAGTTGTGAGCTGCCATGTGGGTGCTGGGAATTGAACCCGAGTCCTCTGGAAGAACAGCCAGTGCTCTTAACCACTGAGCCATCTCTCCAGCCCCCTCGACTGACTTTTAAAATATATAGCTGTCTTTTATTCATCACAGAATCTTGATCAAAGTGTGTGGGGGCGATGACTAAAGTGGTGATGTTTTCTGTCAGAATGGGAAGTGGTACTTTGTCCCTTTAAAATCTGTGATCAAGAGAAGTTTTAAAATTTTAGTTTGAGACTCCTCTGGAGTCTTTAATACTTCCAAAAGTGTCCAAAATACATTAAAAAAAAAACAGAAGTTTTTCTGGTTTGATTTGTTTAAGGTATTGAAGCCTATTCATTTCTATTTTAAAGTAATGTTCATATTTTTCCCCGATACCTTTCTGTCTCTTACAGGGAGCTTATTAGATTTCCTTAAAGAAGGAGATGGAAAATATTTGAAACTTCCACAGCTGGTTGATATGGCTGCTCAGGTATGCATATATGTGTATCAATTTGAATTAAAAGCATATGTTTAAAATGTAGAAAAATCTTAGCATAATATTAAAATTGGTGCAGTGAAATTCTGCAGTTTTAGAAGAAGAGGGAACGTTAGAGGTAGTTCAGTGTGAGCTCTTAAGTATTAGAATACTGCAGCTCTTCTGGTTGCCCTATATTATACGACCTTTGACATAGAGCTTCCACAAATACAAAGTCTGTATTTACATTTCAGCAGATAAATTTAAGAAAATTAATTTAGGCTGAGTGATGGTAGCACATGCTTTTAATAGCTGCATTCAGGGTGTAGAGGCAGGTGTTTGAGACCAACCTGGTCAACAGAGTGAGTTCCAGGATAGCCAGGACTACACAGAGAAACCCTGTCTCAAAAAAAGAAAAAAAGAAAAGAAAGAAAGGAAAGAAATTTAAGGTGGATATGGGTTATTCCAAAATTTAAAACCTGAAGATATATGCTATTTTTTTTGTTTGTCTAAGATAAGAATTCAGATAATATACAGATAAGAATTAGTCTTTTGTACTTCTGAATTTTTGTCGCAAAGTTTCTTTTAAGATTGTTGAAGAATATTGAAGGCACTGTTTATTGTCTTAAGTTTATGTGCTTGCTTCTGTAGCTCTTACTTTTTAGTGAAAGTCATTTGATAATGCCAGCAAATTCCAGAGGAGACAGGAATATGCCAGACCGTACATTCAAGGCTCTTAGGCACTTTCTTTTGGAAAAATGGCAAGCCTTTTTAATAAAATAGTTAGATAAATGGCATGGGCTTTGTGAGCTACATACAAACCCTATTGGACCTCATTAGTTTTATAGCCCTTTAAATGTAAAAGCCATTTTTTTAAACACTTCTCAAGGTATATGAAAACAGGCTGTGGGTACATCTGACTTACAAGCTAGTTTGTTCGTACTTCAGCACCTTAGATTGTGTCTGGTATGGACTGTGTGAGTTTTTGTCCAGAGACTCCAGACTTCATCCTCTTGTGATAGATTTCTTCTGACCACTGACAAGAAGACAATAGGACATTGTGCAGGTGATGTGACTGGATGTACTCTGGGCATAAAATATTGATCTTCAAAATATGTGTTGATTGATTTTTACTTGCAGTATTAGGGGTGTAAAGATTAATTTAATCTTTTTTTAAAAAATTAGTTTTGTTCTGTTGTCTTCTGGATTGTGTCTGTTACTGTAATTTTTTTGGGATACCTGATTTTTCAGCAGTCCCTTTAACCAAAAGTATCCTCCCTTTGCATCATATATTTTGCTTTTTTTTTTATATTTTGCATGTTATTGTGCTTCCTCTCTTAAGATTGCTGATGGTATGGCGTATATTGAAAGAATGAATTATATTCACCGAGATCTCCGAGCTGCTAATATTCTTGTAGGAGAAAATCTTGTATGCAAAATAGCAGATTTTGGCTTAGCAAGATTAATTGAAGACAATGAGTACACAGCAAGACAAGGTAAAATAACATATATAGATGCTTATAATTTTATACCCTATGCTTATTTTACTTAACACCCAGGACTTTATGCAATACCAATAATTCTAGTGGATAACAAGGTTCCTGCCTACCTGGACTGTCAAAGCACATCAGGGTAGGATGTGGATGCAAGAGCCTTTTGTGGAAAACAGGGCTCATCTAGACAGAGACACTGCCTTTTTGCTCAGCATGTAACATGCATTTTCATGTGGACCTGGCGTGAAACCATCGGTAGACAAAGTGCTTCTGTGTGAGCATTTCCCATGTAGCAAAGCAGCTCCATCTATGAAATCTGTTGGAGATCAACAGGATTTGGTGGGTAGGAGTTCAGGAAAACGGCTCAACAGGTAAAAAACACTTGGAACACAAAGCCTGGTGGCCTGTTTGACCCCTGGAACCCATGTCATAAAGTTGGATGCGGTGATCTGCACCCTTAATCCCAGCCCTCCTGTGGGGAGACATGGAACATGAAGGCAGGAGGCTCACTCAGAAGTTAGCAGGCCAGCTAACCAGGAGTAGGTAATACAGTAGCAAAAATGAGAGCCCCAGTCTTGACAAGGCACTTTTCCAGGTGGTAGTGGTGCACACCTTTAATCCCAGCACTTGGTAGGCAGAGGCAGGTGGGTCTTTGTGAGTCCAAGGCCAGCCTGATCTCCAGAGCAAGTTTTAGGACAGGCTCCAAAGCTACAGTGAAACCCTGTCTTAGAAGGAAGAAAGAGAAAGGAAGGAAGGAAGGAAGGAAGGAAGGAAGGAAGGAAGGAAGGAAGGAAGGAAAACAGACTTCTAGATTGCTTCAGAGAACTCAGAAACATTGATATTATTCATACAATTATATATAATAAATAATACTTTGGCTGTTTAATAGCTAATTCCTAAAGAAGAACATGACGAGATACTTTTGTATTATAAATATAGCGGATAAAATGTCCTTGGTACTTCCTTTAGGATGGCAGCAGTAGATTTTATTTATTCTTGGTGTTTTCATGTGTGTTTGTGTTTGGGAGTACAGGCACACATATGACACAGCAAGCACACAAAGGTCAAAGGACAGCTTTGGGTATTACTCTCCCATCTTGAGATTGGTTTCTTGTTACCCAGGATAAGTACCAGGTTTAGCTGCCTGCAAATGCCCTGATATTTTTCTGTTTCCACTTACCCTCTCACTGTAAAAGCACTGAAGTTACAGACACAAGTTACATGGGTTCTGGAAATCAAAACTCAGATCCACAGAGGCAGCAAGCACTTAACACACTGAGCTATCCCCTTGTTCCAGATAAATGTTTTCTCTTTTTTTAAAAAACAAACTTGGTAAGTTGTTATTTAAACTATTTTCTTAGGTTGGAGGTGGTTCCCAATTAAACATTATCTCTTCCTACCCCAAGGAGACATCAGCAATACCTAGAAACATTTTTGGTTATTCGAATTTGAGGGCTACTGTCAGCATCTGATGGGTAGAGGCTAAGATACTGATAATCATGCTGTAACATACGGCATAAAAATCACACATTCACAAAATAATTCTATGCCCAGAATAGTTAGCATTGCCAAAGTAGAAAACCCATGATTTTGATGCAGTTTAAAAAAGAGAGAGAGATTTATTTTATGTGTGTGGGTGTTTTGCTTGCATGTAGTACCTATGGAGGCCAGAAGAGGGTGTCATATCCCCTAGAACTGGAGTGAGAGATGTTAACTGCTGAGTCACCTCACCATCCTTCCACTTCTTTTCTGTCTCTGCCCCTATGTATACTTACCTCCAACTAGTCATACATTCTTGTAGTCCTTACTTAGAAAATCCTAACCATTTGTTGAAGGCTAAATTTAGCTGCCACTCTTTAATGAAGCCTTGTTATTGTAAAAGTTGAACTGTTTTCATACCTAAGAACTCCTACCTTAAAACACACACACACACATACATATATAATCACTTTGAGTATATACAGCACTTCAAATTTTACTAGCTTAAATACACAAATTTCATGAAAGTTGTGTTATTTGTGTATTTATATTAATTAGCAAAATGCTTGTATGTTAAAGTCATAGACTAAATATTTTTATAAGATAACATATATTTTAAACATGATAACACAAGGGATGGTACAATGGCTCAGCTGACAAATGTGCTAGTTACTCAAACCTGGTGACCTGAGTTTGTTGGATGGAACTCTTAAAGGAAGAAAGGTAGATAGAGCCACTCCACAGAGTTGTTCTCTGACATCCATACAAGTGCCAAGGTACATGAGAATGCACACAAATACACAATAAAAAATGTGATAGCATAGTAAAAGCTTCTGCAAAGATAGCACAGAAGTACAGAAAAGATTACGAGCCAGTAGCCATTAGACTGAGATTAGGTCTTCAACCATAAATGGCTACAGCCTTTGGACATCAAGTGAATTTAAAGTTGTATATTTTATAATAGTGTAGTGTCTCATGTCTCTGAACCTAGCAGTTGGAAGTTAGAGGCAGAAGGATCAGAAGTTCATGGTCATTCTCTAATAGATAGCATGTTAGAGACCAGCTGACCCTCTCTCAAAAAGCCATACAGAGGGAGAGAGGGGTGCATGCATGAAGTTTTATCTTATATATACAAACACACACAAAACAGCAGCAGATTGAGCAAATGTTTGTAATCCTAGTTTGCAGGAGGCTGACACAGGATTGTGAGAATTTTTTTTTTCAAGACAGGGTTTCTCTATGTATCCCTGGCTATATTGGAACTTGCTTTGTAGATTGCTCAGAGATCACCTGCCTCTGCTCCAGTCTACTGGGATTAAAGTATGTACCACCGTGCCCGCCCGGCCACAATTGTGAGAATTTAAGACTAGCCTAAGATAAATACAGCAAGATCAGGATCCCATGTGCTCTTCCTCCACGTTTCCAATATTATAATTCATGTTTTTGTCTTATTAAAACTTCTACTGCTGTCTTATTGGATCATGTTCTATTCCCACTAGCAATATTTTATATCATTAAATATAAGAAAAAAACCAGATTTAACGTAGAAATTTAAAGTCAGTGAAATTTTCCACATATTTTCTGTGTGTGAAGACTTAAACGTATGACACAAAAAATTGGGATATTGATAGAGATTAGACCTTTGACCTCACATTTACACAAATAGGCTCTTTTAAAACATTTAAGATTGCCAACATTATTTTTAGGTGCAAAATTTCCAATCAAATGGACAGCGCCTGAGGCTGCATTGTATGGTCGGTTTACTATAAAGTCAGATGTGTGGTCATTTGGAATTCTACAGACAGAATTGGTAACAAAGGGGCGAGTACCGTATCCAGGTAAGCTTGTGTTTTTCTAATTTTTTTTGGTTGTTATCTCAACATAGACTTTAATGAGGGGTACATGTAGCAAACATGTAAGGGAGAGAGACTATTTCTTCTTTGCTACTCCTTTATTTTGGCACTGAGTATGTAGCAATTCATAAGGTCAGGAATCCTTGAGCAAGCACAGGAGGTGTGTCCTACATTCACTTCAGTTTTCTCCTCTAAGATGTTTTCCAAAAATGCCTTTTATATCTGTTCTCTCCATCAGAAGCATATCTTAAATATCCTAAGTTATATCTGCTCCCCCAAATAATTTTTTTCTAGAAGTGTGGTGTTCTAGACTCAAAAGATTGTTTTGAGAAGCAATGTATCCTCTTTAGTAATAAGAGGAAAAAACAAACTATTTTACTCAAAAAATTAAGACATTGATACAGGTTTTTGGGAGCCAGAAGAAATTTTAGTCTAATTGAAATTTAGCTATAATTGAATATTATTACTTCAACCTGTTACCTCTCAAACATGTCCACTGAAGTAAAGTATCCTAACATTTGAGGAGTGTGAAAGCATAGAAAATACAATTTTTGGAAAGAATCGCTATAATGATCTTCTCTTACATGCCATCCTTAGTACTTGCAGGTGTAGATCTATGTTGTCACATTCTCTGATCCACATCCCTTCATTATGTGCTGACACTTAACCCATACAAGTTCTCCTCACCTAATGGTCATTCCTTATCACTCTGTCCAGTAAGACTCCACTCCTGTCTTAATTCATGATCATGTTTTACTTACTAAAATTAGGATATTCCTATGATGATATTTGTTTATGTTTTAATGAATAACGCTGGCCTAAAGATCAGAGTGCAGAACTAAGTCACTAGAGGTCAAGCAGTGATGGCACACACCTTTAATCCCAGGACTCAGGGAGACAGAGGCAGAGGGATCTCTGTGAGTTCAAGGCCAGCCTTGGCTATACTAGATTGATCCAGTCTCAAAGAGAAATAGAGATAGGTAGTGTTGGCTCACACCTTTAATCCCAGTACATGGAAGTCACATGCCTTTAATCCCAGCACTAGGGAGGTGGAGACAGGAAGGTATAACACAATTAATAAAAACCTTGAGACAGATATTGGGGTTGAGCAAGAAGGTCAGAAAAACAAAACAGCCAGCCACTGGCTCCTACGATTTATACCTGAAATGGTGATCCGGCCTCTAGGAATCTCAGAATGAGACTGTGTCTAAGAGCTGTCTTTTCACATTTCTATTCCTTTCTGGGACTGTGATTAAAGGCATGTACCACTACCACCCAGTTTCTGTGGCAGACTACTATGGCTCCTGGGATTAAAGGTGTGTCACCACTGCCTGGTCTGTAAGTCTGACTAGTGGGGCTCTTTCACTCTCTGATCTTCAATCTTTATTTATTAAAATACAAATGAAATATTAGTACATGAAGGGATATGGCTGGGTAGAGAGGGGAATATAAGGCTGGAGGAAATAAGAGCTCAGAGCAGTCTGGAAATGCAGTCTTGATCAGTCAGAGCATGCAGTCTGAGACAGGACTGCCCTCGTGGTCTGAGAATTCAGTAGAGGTAAAAGGTAGTCTCTTTAGTAACTGGCTGCTCTGCTTCTCTGATCTCTCACCTTTTACCCCCTAATATCTGACTCTGGGTTCTTATTAAGAAAAATTAGAATTTTGCTACACACACACACACACACACACACACACACCTCTCCAACAATCCATAACACTCTTGTTTCTACCTCCCTAGTGCTGGGATTAAAGGCATGTGATCCCAAGTGCTGGGATCACATTTGTGTGAGGTCTGTTTCTTTTTTAGACACAGTCAATCTCATGTAGCTCAGGGTGGTCTTGAACTCACAGAGATCCACTGCCTCTGTCTCCTGAGTGCTGGGATTAAAGGTGTTTGCCACCACCGCCTAGCCTCTGTGACTATTCAGTGGCATTGCTCTGCCACTCTGATCTTCAGGCAAGCTTTTTTTGTTAGGCTACAAACAAAATATCACTACAGTAGTGTCTGCCCTGGAGTGTGATTGATACATAAAGTGACACACCATTAGAGAAAACTGGTGTTTCTCTTCGTTTGCAGGTCTTCAGTTGAAAATACCTTATTGGTTAGAGGTGGAATGCCCTGTCTGCTTTCTTTTTTCAGGGACCCCATCTGTCTTGAACCTGTGAAAATCTTGCATATTACCTCAGTCTCTGTGAGTGCGTATGTGCATCAGTCCTATTGTGTCTGGAAGACACTGTTTCCTTGGAGTCAACTATCTCCTCTAGCTTTTACAATTCTTTTTTTTTCCCGTTGAGTATTTTCTTTTTTTATTTTCCTTTTTAAATTTCATTTTATATTTCATCCACAGTTCTGCCACTCACCCCAGCTTCCTGGTTTGTACAGTCTTTCTTCTTCCTCTTCCACATCAATTCCTGAAACTTAAGGAGAGGGCTTTAATGAAGGCTTCCCATTTAGGACTGAATTTTCTAAAATATCTCAATCTCTGTACATTTTCCAATTGTGGGACTCTGTTGATTCCAATGCAAGAAGAAATATCTCATATATGACCTAAGTGAGATGCTGATCTATGGATATAGTACTATGTCATTAGATGACTATGTTCCTTTAGCCAAATAGAAGTTTTTCCCCTAGGCTTTTCTAGTCTTAGTTTCTTGGCCACTTTAATGGTGTCAGGTATGGGTTCCATCTCATAGAGTGTGCCTTAAATCCGCACAAAAAGTGTTTATCCCCATAACATTTGTGACACTGTTGCACCAGTGTGTCTTGCAGGCAGGTTGCTATTGTAGGTAGTTGGGTGACCTTGATGACCTTTATCTTCTGGCACATGCAGAGTACCTTCCAGCACTTTGAAAGCTAATCAATAGGGGTAAAGCTTCGAGTTAGGTGCCAGATTCTCTGTATTCGATGTCATAAGTGTTTTCTTTAGCAATAGGGCCTTACCATCAGGTTGTAGAATACAACCAATAGCTTTGGCAGTAGCCTGTGATGTTTAGCAGAAGTGTTTCTATGGGACTCCTTTGGCCAACACCAACATTCCTGGCACTGGTGGTTTTACTTGGTGGTATAAATTGTTTAGTTGGGATACTGTCTCCCTAATATTGGTGACTACTTAGATTGTTTTTGTTTTGAAGACCGCAATTCCATATACCTACAGACACCTGATTTCTGACAAAGAAGCCAAAGTACATACTGGAGAAAAGGCAGCATCTCGAAAAAATGGTGCTGGTCAAACTGAATGACTCCATGTAGAAGAATCCAAATAAATCCATACATATCACCAGATGGATCAAGGATCTCAACAGAATATCAGATACCTTCAGTCTGATAGAATAGAAAGTAGGGGGAAGGTTTGAACTCATTGGCACATGAAAAGACTTCTAAATAGGGCAACCATAACACAAAGAACAACAAATAATAAATGGGATCTCATGAATCTGAAAAGCTTGTATACAGCAAGGACACAGTATTCCTTTTAATACATACATACATACATACATACATACATACATACATACATTTGTTCTTCCCATACTGTGTTCTCTCATGGCTTGAGTACTTTCCACCTGTGTTCTTGTCGTTTCTCACTTTCAACCTTCACAATACCTAAAACTGCCGTCCTCTCCTCACCACAATTCCTGTGCCCCTTGTCTGACTCCTGCTCTGCATCTTTCCATCTTTTTCTACTCCAGCTGTAACAAGATCTTTAATGTTTTGGTACCAATTTTTCCAGATCCTCGTCCTCTTCATGAAATCCCTCTTCTTAAACTTTACAGTCAAGCAGTATGAGCACTCCCTTGGGTTTATTTTATCCTTTGTCCTTCTTTTATTACTACTTAATCATAATGCTGGATAAAATCGAGTTCTTTCCTCTCTATATCGACAGATATAGCCAGAGAGGTGAAAAAACAGTTGTATTAAATTATTTCACTTTGAAGTTTTAATCGTGGTGTGCTTTAAGTTTGGCCACAGTAGAGAATTTAATATCTACTATCTCACTACAGACAACCGCAGAAATAGATAGATACATAGTACGGTTGTTTTTATGTTTCACAGCCGCCAAGGAAGAATGCCATCTTTTTTTTTTTTTAAAAAAAATGGCACCTATGTTAATAATATGTTTCTTCTTAACATTTTCTAAGTGGGAATATTGATGAAGTCCAAATGAAGACATCAATTTTGTTTTGGGGAGTTTTGTTTTTTGTTGTTGTTGTTTTCTGAACAAAGGAGAAAGAAGTACAGGTGCTCTTAAAAAGGAAGCTCCTAAAGAAAGAACTCCAAAATTCTGCATTTAAAAATCCCTCTAGGCCTTTTCCAGTAGGTTCTCCTAGCCTTCACCTATACAGGTAAAGGCTATGGTAGGAGATTTAACAGAAAACAGGCAGGCACTCAGGGTCTGAAAGCTGAGCTGAACTAAAAGCAAAGAGTGCTAGAGAGTTCCTGCCCAGCCAAAATGAACATTCGGGAACATTTTAGGCTTTTTGTTGAGACCCTAAAAGGCAATGTGTCACAACTCTAGAGGTGGTGGATCCAGGGGGAATGGAGTCAGTACATGAGGTGGACTAAAGTCTCACGTCAACTTTATTCAGCACCACAGACAGTTTGTGCTCTGTGGGTTAAGAAAGGTCACATGAGTAAAGTTCTCATGAGTTCAAGCTGTATAAAATTTCCATAGAGGCATGGTTTAAACATTTAATTCAATAGCAACAGCAAGCGATAATGAGTTATCTGAAGTAAACTCACTCTTGTGCTACACCTGGGAGGAGCAAACCCAGGAGTAGCACAAAACCATATTCCAAGAATAATTTTGTTTTTGAAGAAGCTGAGGTCACAAGACTCTTGGTCTTATTTTGTGTTATCACAAGTACTCAGAATTCTCCTCACATAACTCCATTCCTGGACTGTTTTCTGACAGCAATGCTCTAGTAGGAAAGGCAAAACTAAAGAAAACCTAAAGCCAAGTCTTGCCAAGTAAGAACTAGGTGAT